TTTCTCCGATAACAAATGCAGACAGAGATTTATGGTTACGCGGCGCGATGCAATGCGTAAAAAGACAGTATAAGTCATTATAATCAGTAATTATGTCTCCACTGGATGCAACAAATGCCTAATTTGTAATGGGTTTTATTGGTTTGGCTCGTCCTGCTGGGAGACGGCATCACAGTATGTTAAGGGGCGTAACATTTCCGTCACACGCTTGAGGTATTCGGCCAATCACAATGCACTGGATAGCTGGCCAATCACAGCACAGCTCGCTTTTTCAGAACGATGAGCTTTGTAAAAATTGACGCGTTTCAGAAAGGGGGGCATAGAGGAGAAACAATAATGTACATTATATGGAAAATAATGTGTTTTTTTTACTTTAAACCACATAAACACATTGCATTACACCAAATACACCAAATAATGTTCTTTTTAGCAACATCATATGACCCCTTTAACTGCCATAATCTGATATTATTTCTGAATTAAGAACAATGTGAATACATATTTAGATTGCAGATTTTGAACTTATTACCATTATTAGATGTTCCTGAATTTTTCCAGATTCCTGCTTTTGCAAATTCCAACTTTGCACCCCACACTTGCTCTGCTTCTTGCACCCTGGTCCTGTTTCCCATCTCTTCCTTTTACTTTCCTTCCTTGGTCCTCTTTTCCTTTACGTTCTCTTGCTTTGCGTTTTCTGCCACGGTGTCTCTCCACTCCAACCTCAAAGAACCAACCGGAGCGCAGGAGCCAGACTCAGCCTCTCTGGTCTAGACGACGATCTCTCCTCAGCTTCCAGCTCATCGGATCCGGCGGTTTCTGCAAAAAGACAGCTGACATCCTTACAGACGCAGAGCAACTATCTTCAGCCTTCCTCCTGCAGCTCAACTTAGAGTTAGAAATGGACAGCCATCCTGAACCACAGCTTCAGAAGGATCGGCTAGATTGTGAGGGAAGTTTATTACTAAACACAGAAGTAGATGAGAATCTGTCTTCTCCTTTTATTTCTGACATGGATGTACAAGAGGAAGACTGAATGACTGTGTGTTATATTGCAAACAAAATTCTCTACTGCAGAATTGTAGAATATGCGGTTAATACTCTGAACATGCCAATGTATACATATCAGTGTTGTTATTATAATTAATTGAAAACTGAAATAGAACTGAAATAAAATACATTTTAGATAAACCTAAAAAGAATAAAAATGAGAAATGCTGCTTTGGGAATGAAACTAAAACAAGTTAAAGTACTAAAATTACTAAAACAAAAGCTATATATATATATATATATATAAATCCAATAAAAATGACAAAATTACTGTTTGTAGTAAGAATTTAGTAAAAATATAATAAACATGCCACAGTGATATTTTGTTTTATGTATGAGACTGTTATTACCTAATAAATGCTTTATCAGGTTGAATTGGGACAGACTGATTTCACTGTGCATATTGTTTATTAAAAAAGAAAAATCATAAATTAAGGATGAATCAAATGAAAATAACATTACACAAATTAGCATCAAGCAATAGTTGGCTGTAATAATATTGTAATATTTTTTGTCATTTATAACTAAAATTGCTATGCTCATTTTTTAAAATCTTGATAATTATTTGGTATATAAAAATGTACATAAATATTTTAATGTAACAATACATATTTTTTTATTTACAATTTTCCATAACTTTTACTTAATTTTAGAAGGAAATAAATGAAATCAACACTTGACAAAATGTGTTTATTCAATATATTTAATATTTATTAGTAAACATTCTGCATATGCCTGCATATAGTTACAACACATCTAATATATATATATATATATATATATATGTGTGTGTGTGTGTGTGTGTGTGTGTGTGTGTGTGTATATATGCTTATAGTGAGTAAAGCTTATAAATTTGAGTTATAATATATAGATAAAAAAATGCTTTCAGTTGTGCAAATACATCATAATTGCATCAAAAAACAATAAAATCACATTTTAGAGTTCTCTTACTTCATTCAGGGTTTTTATGATGTAAAACTACATAACATTTCACATTAATGTTTTATGATATTACCAACCCAGTTCTTTCTGGTGTGTGTTATTGTGCAAAATGAAAAAAAAAAAAAAGAATCCTATTTTAAAATCCTTCTATGGCTTGTTTTGTGTTGCTACATTTCAAAGGCAAATCAAGCAGTACAACTATGTCAACTAGAAGCTCATGCTTCTACTAGGTTATGAATTCTTGATCAGAGTTGTGTTTTCCGATCCTCTGCTTTAATGTCAAAGAGATGCGGATTGCTCTCGCTCATGTGAGTGAAGCGATCTTGGAGATACTGGTTCCCGAAGTCCATGATTTGGCCCATGGCTTGGCAGTGTAGACTAGCCACTCTGGCTGTGAAATCCAGAGTGAAGGCGAACTTCACCAGCTCTGGTGCCACGACAGGTGGCTGGGTTTTGTTATTGGGAACTTCTGACTGCACATATTGTTCAGCCATTTGCTGGAAGGATCTACAGGTGATTCCATTCAGATAAGCGGTTATGGTGCTGTTCTCGTTCCGCTGGGGGGAGGGAGGAGGAGATCAGAAAACATTAGTGATCTAAAGAAAATTGGTGGATCTCCTTTAATAACACATAGCATAAAATGGCAATACTTGGGTGGTTTTAACATTTCATGCCTGTTTGAAACTGAGCCAATCATCTGCAATACTTATAAAATGTCTCAGTAATATTTAGTGATTTCAGAAGGAATGAGACACACTTACCTTGATATTTATTAAGTCTCCTTGCTCTTCCTTTGAGACTAGTTTGAGAAATATGATAGAAAAATGAGCAAATATTATAAAATATAAAGTTCAGGTTGTAATAAGAACAAATTACAACCTGAGGCTAATGTCTATTTACTCATCATTCAAAACCTGTATACTGGGTTACTTTTTGCAGAACACCAAAGATACATTTTGGAATCATTTTCATCCATCTTTTCTGTACAATGACAGATTATGCTGATGACGTCTGCCAAACTCTAAAGAAAACAAAAAACACCATAAAAGTAGTATAATATAATGTGTGTGCTGTATTCAAAGACTTCTGAAGACTTTGTGTGAGAATTTGCAGAATGGAAAATTATATTTGAGAAAGCAGAGGGGAAGTTCGTAACTAACTGGTAATTAAAAATAATGGACTCTTTTAATGGCACTTCATAAGTCTTTCATGGTCACTACACAAAAAATACTGTAACAGCATACGGATTTGGAACAACATAGTATGAGCAATGGTTATAGAATTTCTTTAAAGTATTACTAAAATGCTTTAAATTTGCATAAGCTTTAATGCTTAAGTAAATGCAGTTTATTAAACAAATAAAATTTCTGTCGTTCCAAACCAGTATGACTTTCTTTGGTGGAACACAAAAGAAGATATTTTGAAGAATGTCTGTAATCAAACAATATTGGAAAGGAGACTTGTTTCACCAAAAAAAGAAAGAAAGATTTTGGAACTACATGACAGTAAGTAAATGATAACAGCATTTTCATTTTTGGGGTGAACTATATCTTTAATCACAGCCCTATTCTGTTGTAATTCAGACATTGAGACACAACCAGCTGAACCCTATACTGGTTTGTGTTGTCCTGTATGTAATATTTAACCCACCTCTTTTGCATCATTCAAATAGTCTATTATAATAACACTCACCATTTACACCATTCTGGTCTGTTATTTGAGCGGCATTGTCTTCAGCTGGACTGTCTTTCACTTCATTCACAATTTTCTCCAGTTCCTCTGACATTTTCTCATAGTACGAGTTAATGGGTTCCACTATCTCAACAGCTGTTAAAAATCAAACTTTATTAGAACTTTTTTTTTTCAATAAATGCAAACTTCAAACTAATACAATGAACATCCATAATAAAGTTGCACATACATGGAGAGATACATACATTTTTCAGTGGACATATCTCCACTTCGCCTCCATTTTAATGATCTCCTGTGCAACGTCGAATTTGAATGGTGCAGGTTGATATCGCTTTTTGATAGGGCATCACCTAAAGGCAAACAAGAGATTTGGGGCGTTGAGGGATGGGAAAGAGGGAGCTGTTCTTCGGTTCTCTGATGATCTTGCTCCTTTTCACTGTTTCCTTTGGAAAACCAGCTCAAGAAACTCTTCCATACAGTGGGTTTCTTTGTCTTCTTGCCTTCTTTGTCCTTCCTTTCCAATGTAGAAGTCTCCAGATTTTCTTGCACATTTGAATGCATATTTCCAGCGGTAACTGTACTTGTTTGGGGGGATAAAGAATCAATGCTTTGCCCACCTTCCTCCTTGCCCTTATCCAAAAGTAGAAACTTCTTCTTGGGTTTGCTGTTGGACATTTGCGATGCATTAGAGCCATCGTTGCGGCACAGACTCCCTTTAACTCTCCACTTTTTGGATTTCTTCTCAGACGACGTCTCCTTTTTATCCATTTGCGGTTCAGTGAGTGGCTCGTATCTAATGCCTTCATCTGAGATGGAGGCTTGTGAAGTCAAGTTCAGAGATGTATCGCTGGAATGTTTGCGATCTCTTGTCTTGCGCTCTGTGATGGCAACCCATTTGTGTGATCTTTGCTCCTGTCTCAGAGGACATTGTGATCCATCGTTAAGGCTGAGACTTCCCTTTACATACACCTCCAGCAGCCGTTTCCTATCCTTTTCTCCCACTGACAGCAGCTGAGTGGTGGGCTGTGTATGCTGGTCAGTCGAAATGGATGCCATACTGGCCTGTCATACTGCAATAAAATGCATCAACATTTGTATTAGTGATTGAATAATATGTTTTTTTTTAATTATTATTATTATTTCCAATGCTGATATCTAGTGAGCAAGGAGGCTGATGGCTAATATAGCCTAAAATATACATATAGGCCTATAGAGAGAGAGAAAGAGAGAGCAACAAAATTGCTGAACTGCAAATTAACACTTATTTTACAAAACATTTGAATCAAAATTAACTAATGGAAAACAGAAAACAGAAAAAAAGTTAATGATCTGCAGACAAGCTATTGTCCAATGCTAAAAATCGGCCAAATGTCGTCCGATTAATCGCTACATAATACTGTAGGCAGAATGTCACCATTCATTTTTATTGTATCAAATCCTTTTTGTGTTGCTCAGAACATTCCTTTAAGAATCGTCGATCTTTAAATCATTTTGAATACCATGGTAATGGAAAGTGTACAATCAGCTAACAGCGAAAACACAAACCCAAAACGATATTATAAGACGAACGTGAAGTTTTGAAATAAACCATTGATTTTGTCTTACTATTTCTCGCACTTTACGATGTTGGTACAATCTCCAGTGGTGACCGACTGTTAGTGCAAAGTCTTTGAGGAACCTTGGACTTGTAGGCGACATTAAAGACGCCCATTTTGGAAACACCTATCAGCAGACGATGCAGCAGAGGTTGACGTCATTCAGGTAGCCCGGGAAAAGGTTTGTCGGGTGATGTTTACATGTTTTCTCTCCATGTTAAGATGAATAAGGAAATGACACCCCAAAATAATTTTAAATGAAACTTAACCTATAATTCCAAGTGAGTTTGAATAGAAGTAGTTGTGCAATAAGAATTAATAATTAGTTTTTTTCCAAGTCAAGAGTTATGCATTTATGTGACAGGAAGAAGAGATTGCATCATTCTGCAGCCAGTAAACCATTTACTGTGTGTTCTGTTAGATGACGTGTACACTAAACTGTTTATGAGAGCAAGAAGTTCCTGAACCCTCCCTTTTGTGGAGGTCTAAGATAAGACATGGGGAAATCTGGTGCATAATGAAAATGAAATCAAGTTAAGACGAGTAAGTATGAAAAAATTCAGGTGTTGCGATATAAAGACATTTTCTGGGAATGACATTTCTGATTTTGTGATAAGTAATTCAGGTCAAAGAATGCACTAAAATGCAAGCAGACAAAAAATCAGGAAAGAAGTTAAATGTTATACTTTGACCATACATTTGACTTACTTTAAAACATGTCACATTTTGTTTTGCATTAAACTGAGACAAAGGGAAAATCAATTTAAAGTCAAACCAGTTTGTCAGCTGAGTTATCACTTTGTTTACAGGCTGCTTGTCACCAAAAAAGGACATTAGCTCTTTTACTTTCACTATTCACCCTTTCATTATTCTAGACTTAAATAAAGAGATACTTGTATAGTCGGTTACTAATGATTCATATTTTTTGTATTCATAGCTGACTGAATTATTGAATACATAAATGCACAAATAGCTAGATAACGGCAATAACAACCACATGCATGTTAAATTTATGTCCTTAAGCAGACACTTTCTTACTTAAAAAAACAAACAAAAAACATGCTATGGGCGTGTATATAGGTCTATATTGATGATTACAAGATTACCAAGGTGATTGCTTTTATTTTGTATACAGTACCAATACAGACAGTGTAGGTGTACATTACAGTGGTATCCAGTAAATGATGACAGATACACTTTTTCATAGTATATCATATACAGTACTTCCTGTATGGCTTACATACAGGAAGATACAGTGCCATTCTGTCTTGATTTATTTTTCTGCATATCACATACATCTGTTTTCATATACGAAAGATGAATTAAGTAATGCATCTGTGGTGTATTTTCTCTATGTGGTCCATTTACACTAAACAGTTCAATAAAATGACCACTAGAGGTCAGCTGAAGGATGTGTGGTGGCAGACCTTGGCTGCTTTACTGAAATTATGTAGACAGTTTCCTGGTAGGAAGATGATTGACTTGTCACCTTGTTTTCACTGAATGATGTCTGCATTACTGCACACACCTTTAAAGCCTGTCAGTTTTGGAAATATGTCATACATCACACACATAATTAAGGGGACAGACCTTTTATGATTCACAGGCACAGTAATTGTGACACTATAATCAATCAGCAAACCAGATCTGGCTTTCAGTGATGTGGTTTATGGGAAATGCACCATGCATATTAGACAACAAGTTCCTCTTTCCATATTATTTGAGAAAATGTGATTTTGATTCATGACTAATGACTGTGCTGTGCTCTCATCTCTTGACGAAACCTTGACCACATAATATTTAGAACTTTATTTCCTTTGAAATGTCCCCTGTTGAGCTATTGAGGCAAACAGGTACATAGGCCGATTTAATGCAAATTCCGGTGTCAGCTAGATATGATATAAAATCATTTTTTAATATAAATATGACAATCTATTTGAAGGCGCAACATGAAAACTGATGTCAGTTTGGCCTTCAAGTGAGGAATAGTGCCCTCAAACTAAACGGAGTGTGAGTGCAAACAGAAAAGCACATCTATTCTCATTATTCTACACACAGTGCATTTGTGATTTGGAGGTTTCAGTGTCCAGGCAAGGACATGTAGGGATATAAAGAAGATAAAGTATCTCCTTGGTTAACAATGCACAGCTGGCAGGAAGCTCACCTTCCAAACACACATATGTTCTCAGACAGATGATTAATGTTTGCTGCATATTGCTTCTAAAAATACACATACTAATGTTTTTCTTTAAATTCCTCTGTAATGAAGTTGGTTTTTATAGCTAAACATGCTACTGTACGAACTGAATCTGTTTCTTTGATACACCTTAATGATGCAAACATTAAAAACCACTGAAAATTATTCAATCTCTTTGAAGGCGGTGCTTGTGTATGTTGGTAGCTGCCAAATAATGTGGGAAGGTTATGTTTAAATGGGTATGAATGCATAAGGGAAAGTTCATTAGCCATTTATTTGATGTTTTTCACCATTTTATTCACCCATTTCTTCTTCTTCTTCTTCTTCTTTTTTCATATGCATAGGATGTCTTTCTTCAGGTCACTGTCAAGTCAACCATGAGAGTGTCATCTTAGTAATAATATAATATTTATTTTATTCTGAACTTTACTCCAGTTATTAGACCATCATGTGACCACTTTTAATTATTGAGTGAGACCAAAACATCTAAATGCACGTAAATAATGAATGAAGAGGGTGTAACAAAGCTGGGTAATAGAGAGTTGGAGGGACAGACATGAAGCAACAGGGGAAATTCCTCATGATGAGTAACATTCATTATCTGTTTTACAGCTTAATTGAGGAAAGAGGAAGGGAGAACCAGCACATTCAGCACGTGAACACAGGTAGAGGATATTCCCATAGTCATGTTACATAATTACAACAGTCTATATCATAACTGGGTGATCTACCCGTATTTATGTGCCAAACTCGCCTGATGAAATTTTCTTTCTCAAGATATCAGGATAACCTGTAGGCCTAATATTACGACATAGGTAGCATATCTCGAATTTTAAAAGAAAATAAATAACATAAGTATATGAAAAAGTCTGTATTTTGTAGGCTAATTGGAGTAGAGGGTGTGGCTCAACTTTATTTACTTTGAGCTAATGACGTTCTCAAACGCGTTGCGCATGCGCACATGAGACGTATGCGTGGACGAGGTAGGTCAGTTCTTGGTATGTCAGCATGACATTTGTTTTGCCCGAGTCAAAATTAAAGCAGAATTCGTGCTAATACCGACACATTTGTGGGGTGTCATGACTCATGAGACACTTTATACACTCCAGGACGCCATATTAATCTAAACTTTCGATACGACCTGAGTTTGTGACTGAACTGCAGGTGCTAGCAGCGAAAGGCTGTATTAAAGAACCAAACAAAAGTTGATAATTACAGATGCAAACTGCCAAATGTCATTTATTACAGAAAATGTGTAGCCTATTGGTATCTTAAAAAGATTTTACAAAGCTTTGTACACAAACCTTGCTTTACTTTTAAGATGGACATCCAATTGCAGTTCAGAAAGTGAATCAAGTGTTTATTCAGTAACCACTCTAAAGGATTCAGTGAATTAATTCAGTGAATAATTCGACAGACTGATTCAAATAGTTAATGAGTCCATGAGTCATTTTGAACAATTCATTAAATGAACCGTCTCATAGTTTGTGCGTCAGACTTTACTGCTATTGCTTGTGTGTGTTTGTGTGCAGCCTGCATATACATATATATAATATTTATAATGGCTAAGTACAATAATACATTACCAAACATGTTGTGTGAAACTTTTATTTGTTAATACTAATACTTTGTGTTAATACTAACTAATTTGTAATACTAATACTAACCACCTGCTTAGGCCATTATTTGTGATTAAATTTTCTGTAATCGGGTTTTGTGATGATGACTCTTTTTGTCAAGTCATTTTGATTATGAACTTTATAATGAGTCATACATGACTGAAAGTAGTGATATCTGAGTGAGTATGTTATTTACTATGTGATTACTCATTGAACGTGAAAGGTGGCATTATCCAGTTGACAGGGTGATCAACCAAGTGATGTGGAGGCAACACTTCCCCTTATCTGATTTCCCCCCTTGTATATTGCTAATGAGCTGAAACTGTCCTCCATACTGAAATCAAACTTTTTGTCTCTTTTTGTCATTGTTAGATAGTGTTACTTCAGAAGAATTACGTATGCTAAGAATTACAGTATTACTGGTTTACACTATTTTTTTTGTACACTGTCAATTTCTTTAAAGGGGTCATATGATGCGATTTCAATTTTTCATTTCTTTTTGGAGTGTTACAAGCTCTTGGTGCATAAAGACGATCTGTAAAGTTGCACTAAAGTCTCAAAACCAAAGAGATATTCTTTATAAAAGTTAAGAGTTAACCACGCCTACCTAAAACGGCTCGTTCTAACACGCCCCCACAAACCTAC